CTATCACACGACATGCTGGGAACAGCCTTGCTGGGAATGTGCTTGCTGGGAGTATGCTTGCTAGGAATGTGCTTTCTAGGAGTGTGGTTGCTAGGAATGTACCTGCTGGGGATGTGCGTGCTGGGAGTGTGGTTGCTAGGAATGTTTGTGCGTCTGACTCACCCGTTTCGTAATGTTGAGCACTAACTGACCGCGGGTGCTGGTCAGTGATGGAACACATAGGTAACCAGCGAAGTTGTAACATTGAATTGATGACGATAATGTCGCCCCTGTGTTGCTTAACCGTTACTCGACACTGATAGCGTTGATCCTGTGTTGACCCTCCAGTACTAGAATGCATATTGGGTGATGTACATCACCAATATCACCTACAAAACAGTCACTAAATTTTGGCAAGTATTCCAGAGGAAATATCATAGTTATAGCTTAACGTTTTCTATATAGCTCAACCTACCAGAGTATGGGACTAATATTGACAGAAACTCTTGACTCTTCGTTTTTCCTTTGACATTAGGAAAGTTTAGGAGGACGGGCTGCTTTATTGGTAGGACCACATAATTAAGAAAAATTACATACATTATTTTCGTTTGTAGCTTATTAAAGTCTCCCACAACCAACAGACCCGGTTGGGCACGTTTCGTTTAACCTGCTCTGTTCACCTAGCATTAAAAAGGGTAGCAGGGAGTAAAGACAACTATTGTGTGTAACATTTTGGGACCAGCGAGGCGTTGGTATTTGGCCCAGTTGGCCCTCCCCCCTTCCCCACCACATACACAAAGGGGCACCTCGCTAGGTCTATCGGGATTCGTTTCCCGCCGGGAGGATGCCGGAAATTATATTACATAAATCCAGACAACTGTTTTTTATGGATCATGTAAACCACAGGAGAGGCAGCTGATTCAAGCTCAACAAGCCACCAGTACCAAGCCACTAGTACTAAGACACAAGTACCAAGCCACCAGTACCAAGCCACTAGTACCAAGCCACCAGCACCAAGCCACTAGTACCAAGCCACCAGTACCAAGCCACCAGCACCAAGCCACCAGTACCAAGCCACCAGTACCAAGCCACCAGTACCAAGCCACCAGTACCAAGCCACCAGCACCAAGCCACCAGCACCAAACCATTAGCACCAAGCCACCAGCACCAAACCATTAGCACGAAGCCAGCAGAACCAAGCCAGCAGAACCAAGCCATCAGTATCAAACCACCAGTACCAAACCACCAGTACCAAGCCACCAGTACCAAGCCACCAGTACCAAGCCACCAGTACCAAGCCACCAGTACCAAGCCACCAGCACCAAGCCACCAGCACCAAGCCACCATCACCAAGCCACCAGCACCAAGCCACCAGCACCAAGCCACCAGCACCAAACCATTAGCACGAAGCCAGCAGAACCAAGCCATCAGTATCAAACCACCAGTACCAAACCACCAGTACCAAGCCACCAGTACCAAGCCACCAGTACCAAGCCACCAGTACCAAGCCACCAGTACCAAGCCACCAGCACCAAGCCACCAGCACCAAGCCACCAGCACCAAGCCACCAGCACCAAGCCACCAGCACCAAACCATTAGCACGAAGCCAGCAGAACCAAGCCATCAGTATCAAACCACCAGTACCAAACCAGCAGTTCCAAGCCATCAGTACTAAGACACCAGTACCAAGCCACCAGTACCAAGCTACTAGTACTAAGACACCAGTACCAAGCAAGCGCATCAGCTCACGACGCACCACGACGGCGCGCAGAGGTGTGACGAGATCTTCATGAGGTCACTGTAGGAGCTCAATAGGCCCTGCAACATGACTCAGGTGTGTAGCCCTTCAGTCCCACCCCGTGTGTTTGTCCCACCCCGTGTGTTGGTCCCACCCCGTGTGTTTGTCCCACCCCGTGTGTTTGTCCCACCCCGTGTGTTTGTCCCACCCCGTGTGTTTGTCCCACCCCGTGTGTTGGTCCCACCCCGTGTGTTTGTCCCACCCCGTGTGTTTGTCCCACCCCGTGTGTTTGTCCCACCCCGTGTGTTGGTCCCACCCCGTGTGTTTGTCCCACCCCGTGTGTTTGTCCCACCCTGTGTGCTTGTCCCACCCCGTGTGTTTGTCCCACCCCGTGTGTTTGTCCCACCCCGTGTGTTTGTCCCACCCTGTGTGTTTGTCCCACCCCGTGTGTTTGTCCCACCCCGTGTGTTTGTCCCACCCCGTGTGTTTGTCCCACCCCGTGTGTTGGTCCCACCCCGTGTGTTTGTCCCACCACGTCCCATCATGCAGCACCAGGCCAGCTGGCCATCATGCAGTACCAGGCCAGCTGGCCATCATGCAGTACTAGGCCAGCTGGCCATCATGCAGTACTAGGCCAGCTGGCCATCATGCAGTACTAGGCCAGCTGGCCATCATGCAGTACTAGGCCAGCTGGCCATCATGCAGCACCAGGCCAGCTGGCCATCATGCAGTACCAGGCCAGCTGGCCATCATGCAGTACTAGGCCAGCTGGCCATCATGCAGTACTAGGCCAGCTGGCCATCATGCAGTCCGAGGCCGGCTGGCCATCATGCAGTACTAGGCCAGCTGGCCATCATGCAGCACCAGGCCAGCTGGCCATCATGCAGTACCAGGCCAGCTGGCCATCATGCAGTACTAGGCCAGCTGGCCATCATGCACCACCAGGCCAGCTGGCCATCATGCAGTACTAGGCCAGCTGGCCATCATGCACCACCAGGCCAGCTGGCCATCATGCAGTACTAGGCCAGCTGGCCATCATGCAGTACCAGGCCAGCTGGCCATCATGCAGTACTAGGCCAGCTGGCCATCATGCACCACTAGGCCAGCTGGCCATCATGCAGTACTAGGCCAGCTGGCCATCATGCAGTACTAGGCCAGCTGGCCATCATACAGTACTAGGCCAGCTGGCCATCATGCAGTACTAGGCCAGCTGGCCATCATGCAGTACTAGGCCAGCTGGCCATCATACAGTACTAGGCCAGCTGGCCATCATGCAGCACCAGGCCAGCTGGCCATCATGCAGTACTAGGCCAGCTGGCCATCATGCAGTACTAGGCCAGCTGGCCATCATGCAGTACTAGGCCAGCTGGCCATCATGCACCACCAGGCCAGCTGGCCATCATGCAGTACCAGGCCAGCTGGCCATCATGCAGCACGAGGCCAGCTGGCCATCATGCAGTACTAGGCCAGCTGGCCATCATGCAGTACTAGGCCAGCTGGCCATCATGCAGTACTAGGCCAGCTGGCCATCATACAGTACTAGGCCAGCTGGCCATCATGCAGTACTAGGCCAGCTGGCCATCATGCAGCACCAGGCCAGCTGGCCATCATTTAATAACTCCGGTGGTATAAGTCTTAATTTTAAGTCTTGGGCGACGTTTATAAGATCCTTGTGTCAAATAGAATATGTCTCGAGATGGTATTAAAGGGTAAATTGAAACTATTAGGTAATACTTTTGTAAATCATTGAATTATACTTTACCAACCACGTCAGAGTGGTCCACAAGAAGGAAGGTATACCTTACCAACCACGTCTGAGTGGTCCACAAGAAGGAAGGTATACCTTACCAACCACGTCAGAGTGGTCCACAAGAAGGAAGGTATACCTTACCAACCACGTCAGAGTGGTCCACAAGAAGGAAGGTATACCTTACCAACCACCTCTGAGTGGTCCACAAGAAGGAAGGTATACCTTACCAACCACGTCTGAGTGGTCCACAAGAAGGAAGGTATACCTTACCAACGACGTCAGAGTGGTCCACAAGAAGGAAGGTATACCTTACCAACCACGTCAGAGTGGTCCACAAGAAGGAAGGTATACCTTACCAACCACGTCAGAGTGGTCCACAAGAAGGAAGGTATACCTTACCAACCACGTCAGAGTGGTCCACAAGAAGGAAGGTATACCTTACCAACCACGTCAGAGTGGTCCACAAGAAGGAAGGTATACCTTACCAACCACGTCAGAGTGGTCCACAAGAAGGAAGGTATACCTTACCAACCACGTCAGAGTGGTCCACAAGAAGGAAGGTATACCTTACCAACCACGTCAGAGTGGTCCACAAGAAGGAAGGTATACCTTACCAACCACGTCAGAGTGGTCCACAAGAAGGAAGGTATACCTTACCAACCACGTCAGAGTGGTCCACAAGAAGGAAGGTATACCTTACCAACCACGTCAGAGTGGTCCACAAGAAGGAAGGTATACCTTACCAACCACGTCAGAGTGGTCCACAAGAAGGAAGGTATACCTTACCAACCACGTCAGAGTGGTCCACAAGAAGGAAGGTATACCTTACCAACCACGTCAGAGTGGTCCACAAGAAGGAAGGTATACCTTACCAACCACGTCAGAGTGGTCCACAAGAAGGAAGGTATACCTTACCAACCACGTCAGAGTGGTCCACAAGAAGGAAGGTATACCTTACCAACCACGTCAGAGTGGTCCACAAGAAGGAAGGTATACCTTACCAACCACGTCAGAGTGGTCCACAAGAAGGAAGGTATACCTTACCAACCACGTCAGAGTGGTCCACAAGAAGGAAGGTATATACACCACAGTCACAGTTCGACAAGTTTTGTTGAGTTGTATTGTGTCTATAGTGAGAGTAGCCATGAGGCGAGGAATGCTCTCACTGTGTGTGTGAGAGGTGAGAGTGGAGGTGCTCTTCTACTCGACACTCTTGATGATATTGGAGCTCTTCCTTCAAGGGAAAATTGGACTCTGCACTCTTAGAGACACACGGGTCATTAGGACAAAGTATCGAGATTTTTCAAATAGATTTGAAAGGTGCTATAAGAGTTTATTTATTGTTTATTTAAAGAAATAAACAAGATTCTGAAACTATCGCTCAGAGCCCGCAGCAATGGGACCAAGCTGGACATTAACGTACTGAGTGGGTAAGAGGTTAATAGGGTTTGGACATATCGAAGTTGGTGATTGGAATGGACTGCCAGTTTACAGTACTGAGACGAACACTTAACTTTCATCACTCGCAAGTTGATGTTGCCAGTGACGGCAACTCCCGGCAAGTTGCCAGTGACGGCAACTCCCGGCAAGTTTCAAGTGACGGCAACTCCCGGCAAGTTGCAAGTGACGGCAACTCCCGGCAAGTTGCAAGTGACGGCAACTCCCGGCAAGTTGCCAGTGACGGCAACTCCCGGCAAGTTGCCAGTGACGGCAACTCCCGGCAAGTTGCAAGTGACGGCAACTCCCGGCAAGTTGCAAGTGATGGCAACTCCCGGCAAGTTTCAAGTGACGGCAACTCACGGCAAGTTGCAAGTGATGGCAACTCCCGGCAAGTTTCAAGTGACGGCAACTCCCGGCAAGTTGCAAGTGACGGCAACTCCCGGCAAGTTGCCAGTGACGGCAACTCCCGGCAAGTTGCCAGTGACGGCAACTCCCGGCAAGTTGCCAGTGACGGCAACTCCCGGCAAGTTGCCAGTGACGGCAACTCCCGGCAAGTTGCCAGTGACGGCAACTCCCGGCAAGTTGCAAGTGACGGCAACTCCCGGCAAGTTGCAAGTGATGGCAACTCCCGGCAAGTTTCAAGTGACGGCAACTCCCGGCAAGTTGCAAGTGATGGCAACTCCCGGCAAGTTTCAAGTGACGGCAACTCCCGGCAAGTTGCCAGTGACGGCAACTCCCGGCAAGTTGCAAGTGATGGCAACTCCCGGCAAGTTGCAAGTGATGGCAACTCCCGGCAAGTTGCAAGTGATGGCAACTCCCGGCAAGTTGCCAGTGACGGCAACTCCCGGCAAGTTGCCAGTGACGGCAACTCCCGGCAAGTTGCCAGTGACGGCAACTCCCGGCAAGTTGCCAGTGACGGCAACTTCTGGCAAGTTGCAAGTGATGGCAACTCCCGGCAAGTTGCCAGTGACGGCAACTCCCGGCAAGTTGCCAGTGACGGCAACTCCCGGCAAGTTGCCAGTGACGGCAACTTCCGGCAAGTTGCAAGTGATGGCAACTCCCGGCAAGTTTCAAGTGACGGCAACTCCCGGCAAGTTGCAAGTGATGGCAACTCCCGGCAAGTTTCAAGTGACGGCAACTCCCGGCAAGTTGCCAGTGACGGCAACTCCCGGCAAGTTGCAAGTGATGGCAACTCCCGGCAAGTTGCAAGTGATGGCAACTCCCGGCAAGTTGCAAGTGATGGCAACTCCCGGCAAGTTGCCAGTGACGGCAACTCCCGGCAAGTTGCCAGTGACGGCAACTCCCGGCAAGTGGCCAGTGACGGCAACTCCCGGCAAGTTGCCAGTGACGGCAACTTCTGGCAAGTTGCAAGTGATGGCAACTCCCGGCAAGTTGCCAGTGACGGCAACTCCCGGCAAGTTGCCAGTGACGGCAACTCCCGGCAAGTTGCCAGTGACGGCAACTTCCGGCAAGTTGCAAGTGATGGCAACTCCCGGCAAGTTGCCAGTGATGGCAACTCCCGGCAAGTTGCCAGTGACGGCAACTTCCGGCAAGTTGCAAGTGATGGCAACTCCCGGCAAGTTGCCAGTGACGGCAACTTCCGGCAAGATTGTGGGCAATCTTGACTGGGAATAAGCAATTCTTGCTGACCTGAATCAATTTAAGAGTTAGTGTAACGGTGAACTTAATATTATACACATTCCATCAGCAGCATTTGTTTACAGGAATGTTGGGTATAACCAGCACTACAGCTGACTACAGCTGTATCACTGACATGTTTGCTTTGTTGCACTTGTCAACTCACTTCATGAAAGGATAGGCAGTCACAGAGAGTACCCCTTATGTCGCTGAGAGTACCCCTTATGTCGCAGACAGTACCCCTTATGTCGCAGAGAGTACCCCTTATGTCGCAGAGAGTACCCCTTATGTCGCAGAGAGTACCCCTTATGTCGCAGAGAGTACCCCTTATGTCGCAGAGAGTACCCCTTATGTCGCAGAGAGTACCCCTTATGTCGCAGACAGTACCCCTTATGTCGCAGAGAGTACCCCTTATGTCGCAGACAGTACCCCTTATGTCGCAGAGAGTACCCCTTATGTCGCAGAGAGTACCCCTTATGTCGCAGACAGTACCCCTTATGTCGCAGAGAGTACCCCTTATGTCGCAGACAGTACCCCTTATGTCGCAGACAGTACCCCTTATGTCGCAGACAGTACCCCTTATGTCGTAGAGAGTACCCCTTATGTCGCAGACAGTACCCCTTATGTCGTAGAGAGTACCCCTTATGTCGCAGACAGTACCCCTTATGTCGCAGACAGTACCCCTTATGTCGCAGACAGTACCCCTTATGTCGCAGACAGTACCCCTTATGTCGCAGACAGTACCCCTTATGTCGCAGACAGTACCCCTTATGTCGCAGACAGTACCCCTTATGTCGCAGAGAGTACCCCTTATGTCGCAGACAGTACCCCTTATGTCGCAGAGAGTACCCCTTATGTCGCAGACAGTACCCCTTATGTCGCAGAGAGTACCCCTTATGTCGCAGACAGTACCCCTTATGTCGCAGAGAGTACCCCTTATGTCGCAGACAGTACCCCTTATGTCGTAGAGAGTACCCCTTATGTCGCAAACAGTACCCCTTATGTCGTAGAGAGTACCCCTTATGTCGCAGACAGTACCCCTTATGTCGCAGACAGTACCCCTTATGTCACAGACAGTATCCCTTATGTCGCAGACAGTACCCCTTATGTCGCAGAGAGTACCCCTTATGTCGCAGACAGTACCCCTTATGTCGCAGACAGTACCCCTTATGTCGCAGACAGTACCCCTTATGTCGCAGACAGTACCCCTTATGTCGCAGAGAGTACCCCTTATGTCGCAGACAGTACCCCTTATGTCGTAGAGAGTACCCCTTATGTCGCAAACAGTACCCCTTATGTCGTAGAGAGTACCCCTTATGTCGCAGACAGTACCCCTTATGTCGCAGACAGTACCCCTTATGTCACAGACAGTATCCCTTATGTCGCAGACAGTACCCCTTATGTCGCAGAGAGTACCCCTTATGTCGCAGACAGTACCCCTTATGTCGCAGACAGTACCCCTTATGTCGCAGACAGTACCCCTTATGTCGCAGACAGTACCCCTTATGTCGCAGACAGTATCCCTTATGTCGCAGACAGTACCCCTTATGTCGCAGACAGTACCCCTTATGTCGCAGACAGTACCCCTTATGTCGCAGACAGTACCCCTTATGTCGCAGACAGTACCCCTTATGTCGCAGACAGTACCCCTTATGTCGCAGAGAGTACCCCTTATGTCGCAGACAGTACCCCTTATGTCGCAGACAGTACCCCTTATGTCGCAGAGAGTACCCCTTATGTCGCAGACAGTACCCCTTATGTCGCAGACAGTACCCCTTATGTCGCAGACAGTACCCCTTATGTCGCAGACAGTACCCCTTATGTCGTAGAGAGTACCCCTTATGTCGCAGACAGTACCCCTTATGTCGCAGACAGTACCCCTTATGTCGCAGACAGTACCCCTTATGTCGCAGACAGTACCCCTTATGTCGCAGACAGTACCCCTTATGTAACAAACATAAAATGGAGTTTGCCTGGTAAGCACCATCACACTAGGGGGAGGGGTGGAACTCCTGACTCCCTAACTCCCAGGTACCTATTCACTGCTAGGTAACAGGAGCATCAGGGTGAAAGAAACCCATTTGTTTCTGTCATTGTCGGGGATCGAACCTGGACCCTAGCATTACGAGTCTAGAACGCTGTCCACTCAGCTATCAGGCCCCATATACAGTGGGTATGTGTGTGTGTGTTTATGTGTACTCGCCAATTTGTACTCACCTATTTGTGCCTGCAGGATCGAACATTGACTCTTTAATCCCACCTTTCTAGCCATCGGTTGTTTACAGCAATGATTACAGTCCTATTTCCCTATCATATTTAGTTTTAATATTCTGAATAGAGTTTACTTCCACAACCTGCTCCTTAAGTGCATTCCATTTTCCCACTACTCTCACGCTAAAAGAGACTTCTTAACATTTCTGTGACTCATCTGAATTTCCAGCTTCCACCCATGTCACCTCGTTCTGTTTGAACATTTCATCTATTACCACTCTGGCAATCTCCCTGAGTATTTTGTACGTTCCAATCATATCCTCCCTGTCCCTTCTTTTTTCTAGTGTTGTAAGGTTCAGTTCTTTCAGACGCTCTTCATACCATATCCCTCGTAACGCTGAGACGAGTCTCGTTGCAAATTTCTGAACCTTTAATAGTTTTCTTATGTGTTTCTTCAGGTGGGGGACTCCATGATGGTGCAGCATTCTCTAAGACTGGTCTCACGTAGGCAGTGTAAAGCGCCCTAAATGCCTCCTCATTTAGGTTTCTGAATGATGTTCTAACTTTTGCCAGTGTAGAGTACGCTGCTGTCGTTATCTTATTTATATGTGCCTCAGGAGTTAGATTAGGTGCCACATCCACTCCCAGGTCTCTTTCTCGCGTCGTCACAGGAAGGCAGTTCCCCTTCATTGTGTACCGACCCTTTGGTCTCCTATCTCCTTATTCTATTTCCATAACTTTACATTTTCTCGTGTTGAGCTCCAGTAGCCATTTCTCTGACCATCTCTGCAACCTGTTCAGGTCTTCTTGGAGGATCCTACAATCCTCATCTGTCACAACTCTTCTCATCAACTTTGCGTCATACGCCTACATCGACATGTAGGACTCTACTCCTGTAAACATGTCGTTAACGTATATTGCAATAGAACTGGTCCCAGCACCGATCCTTGAAGTACTCCACTCGTTACTGTTCGCCAGTCCGACTTCTCGCCCCTTTACCGTAACTTTCTGGCTTCTTCCTGTTAGGTAGTTCGTTACCCATGCTAGGGCCTTTCCGCTTACTCCTGCTTGCCTCTCAAGTTTGAATAGCAGTGTAATGTGCTGTACTGTATCAAAGGCTTTTTGGCAGTCCATAAATATGCAGTCTGCCCAACCTTCTCTGTCCTGCCTTATCTTCGTTATTTTATCATAGAATTCCAAAATGTTTGTTAGGCACGATTTCCCTTTCCAGAACCCATGTTGATGTTTGTTCATAAACCTAATGCGTGTGTGTTTACTAGTTGTGTTTTTGCGGGGGTTGAGCTTTGCTCTTTCGGCCCGCCTCTCAACTGTCAATCAACTGTTTACTAACTAACTACTAACTACTTTTTTTTTTTCCCACACCACACACACACACACACCCCAGGAAGCAGCCCGTGACAGCTGACTAACTCCCAGGTACCTATTTACTGCTAGGTAACAGGGGCACTTAGGGTGAAAGAAACTTTGCCCATTTGTTTCTGCCTCGTACGGGAATCGAACCCGCGCCACAGAATTACGAGTACTGCGCGCTATCCACCAGGCTACGAGGCCCCCATCACACACATGTGTGTGTGTGTGTGTATACTCATCTATTTGTACTCACCTTTTTGTGCTTGCGGGGGTTGAGCTCTGGCTTTTTGGTCCCGCCTCTCAACTGTCAATCAACAGGTGTACAGGTTCCTGAGCCTACAGGTCCCTGTGGCTCTGTCATATCTACATTTGAAACTGTGTATGGAGTCAGCCTCCACCACATCACTTCCTAGTGCATTCCACTTGTTAACTACTCTGACGCTGAAGCAGTTCTTTCTAACGTCCCTGTGGCTCATTTAGGTACTCGGTTTCTACCTGTGTCCCCTTGTTCGCTTACCGCCAGTGTTAAACAGTTTATCCTTATCCATCCTGTCAATTCCACTGAAGATTTTGTAGGTAGTGATCATATCTCCCCTTACTCTTCTGTCTTCCAATGCCGTGAGGTGCATTTCTCTCAGCCTTTCCTCGTAACTCATGCCTCTTAGTTCTGGGACTAGTCTAGTAGCATACCTCTGAACTTTTTCCAGCTTCGTCTTGTGCTTGACAAGGTACGGGTTACCTGGTTGATACCTGGTTGATGGGGTTCTGGGAGTTCTTCTACTTCCCAAGCCCGGCCCGAGGCCAGGCTCGACTTGTGAAAGTTTGGTCCACCAGGCTGTTGCTTGGAGCGGCCCGCAGGCCCACATACCCACCACAGCCCGGTTGGTCCGGCACTCCTTGGAGGAATAAATCTAGTTTCCTCTTGAAAATGTCCACGGTTGTTCCGGCAATATTTCTTATGCTTGCTGGGAGGACGTTGAACAACCGCGGACCTCTGATGTTTATACAGTGTTCTCTGATTGTGCCTATGGCACCTCTGCTCTTCACTGGTTCTATTCTACATTTTCTTCCATGTCGTTCACTCCAGTACGTTGTTATTTTACTGTGTAGATTTGGTCCTTGGCCCTCCAGTATCTTCCAGGTGTATATTATTTAATATCTCTCTCGTCTTCTTTCTAGTGAGCACATTTGGAGGGGTTTGAGACGATCCCAATAATTTAGGTGCTTTATTGCGTCTATGCGCGCCGTATATGTTCTCTGTATTCCCTCTATTTCAGCAATCTCTCCTGCTCTGAAGGGGGAAGTGAGTACTGAGCAGTACTCAAGACGGGACAACACAAGTGACTTGAAGAGTACAACCATTGTGATGGGATCCCTGGATTTGAAAGTTCTCGTAATCCATCCTATCATTTTTC